GAGCCTCAAAAGTTGCACAGAACTGACATTCATTCTTTCCCACATAATGTTAGGCTTAATTTAAACGTGGGGGGCGGGGGGGTCTACAGGAAACAAGTCATAACAAGCCAAGCGTTTCCCAGTCACTTATCCCCAAGTCGCTCACCACCTTCTCCTTAAACGGGGGCTTTAAAATGTATTACAAGGATAGCTAGACTTAAATGGTACCAACTAATTGGGTCTCTTAGGTACTACTGAACTGCAATCTAAGTGTTCTACGGCGGACCGGGCACGGCTTTTCCCTGAAACCACCCTGCAAACTCAGAAAATTCAGCTCTCTTTAGGAAGAGGTGGGTGGCTCTTAAAAGAGCCTTTGGGGTTTGGAGCGCGCTCCTTTTCACAAGGTCGCCTTACTTCTCAATAGAGGATGAGGCATTCGATAAACAATGCAGTAGAATTAGCGTGACAGTAGGGCCCATGAGAAATCTCAAACAGCTGAACTAAAAACGTTTAAATATTAACCACACATTAAAAGATTAGAGAATCAGAAAACGGGGGGCAGGTAAAGAGGACGCTTTTGAAGATCAGCCCTTTCGGGGAGCATTTCAGGTGGCTCTGAAAAGAGCCTTTGAAAGTGTAAACAGCGGCCTTGGCCCAAAGCATTTACTTCTTTTTGGCAGGGCGCTTCGCCTTGGAAGCCTTGGGCTTGGCTTTAGCTTGAGGCTTGAAGGATTTCGCCGGGCTCCTGGCCGCCTTCTTAGGCTTGGTCACTTTAACCCTCGGTGCCCCCTTGGCCGCAGCCGCCACCTTCCTGACTTTCTTGGCGGCGCTGGCCGGCTTCTTGGCGGCGGGCTTCTTGCTCTTGGCCGCCCCGGACGCGCCCTGCGGCTTCTTCTTGGCCACCTTGTCCTTGGTCTCCGCCGCCTGCTTCTTGTTGAGCTTGAAGGAGCCGGAGGCGCCGGTGCCCTTGGTCTGCACCAGGGTCCCCTTGGTCACCAGGCTCTTCAGGCCCAGCTTGATGCGGCTGTTGTTCTTCTCCACGTCGTAGCCGGCGGCCGCCAGCGACTTCTTGAGCGCCGCCAGCGAGACGCCGCTGCGCTCCTTGGAGGCCGACACCGCCTGGGTCAGCAGCTCCGTCACGCTGGGGCCCGGAGGCTTCCGCGCCTTGACCGCGGCTTTCTTGGCCTTCTTCGCCGGAGCCTTGGCAGGCTGAAGATCAGCAGCGAGCGCAGCCGGAACCTCCTCGGTCATCTTGAAGCCCTAAAAAAAATACAATCGCTGCAACTTCTTCCCTTTAAGCAGAAAAGCCGAATAAGAACAGCGGAGGCGCTGCCTGGTATTTATAGGGGAGGAGCTGCGCTCTGATTGGTCCGTTTCTGGCACCTCTCTCCGAGTCCCAGACAGGTCCCCCGCGCTCGCTGCAACTTTGTGTTTCTTGGTCGCCACAAAACACCCGATTAATCGAGAGCCCCTCGGCGGATCCCGCCCATTCCCGGCGGGATCCGTGGGGAGAATGTCCGTCTTCGGGGGCCTGGTTTTCACGGCCGGGGGAACCGACGTTCGCCTGGAAACGGAGCGGGAACTCCGCGGCCGCCGGCTTTGGCTGCCTCCAGATCTGCAAACTTTTGCTTTTGTCGGAAAATAGCAAAGGGTCCTTTTCATAAAGGGCGGCGACAGTCCTCGGTTCCGAAAGCCCAGAGGGTCTAAATCACGGCCGTGAAGGAAAGGGCGGATTCTGGCCGGTCCCTTTGATACAATCGCTTCTTGAAGCGAGTCAAGTAACACATCCGACAAGGAGCCTGCGACTAAAGGGGCATAAGGCGGTGTTGCTCTGGTACCCCCAGAATACGAGATGCGGAGGCACTGGGGCTCTTTCGAACAGCCTGGTTTGGCTGGTCACTGGAAAGGTCATCTGGAGATTTACCAAAACTGGCCCTTTTTGCACTTTGCCGCGTCTTTCTGTCTCCCTCCGGGAGCTCCCGCTGCAAAGAAGATGGAAAGGCATTCATGGGGTAGCCAGCCTATTGCAGATGGCTAGTTAGTCGCCCGGCTGTAAAAATTATATTTAAGAAGTTATGTTATCGCCAAAGCCTCTCCCCCCACCCACCCCCGCCGCGGGATATTTTAGAGGAGCCAGCCCGCATTGACTGGTGGTGTTGGTGTTACAATGGAGTCCTGCTTGCCCTGAAAAATGCCACTCGCTGGGATCACGTCCAGTGTTCCCTCTAAGCTGAGTTAGTGTGAGCTGGCTCACAGTTTTTTAGCCTCCGGCTCACACATTTTCGTGTTAGCCCAGAAAGGAGGGCTCCGGAGCAAACTAATTGATGCAGCGGCCAAATTTCTCGCTCACAACTTTAATGCCGGTAGCTCACAAAGTAGAATTTTTGCTCAGAAGACTCTACAGCTTAGAGGGAGCATTGATCATGTCTGGTTCAGATGGTTACTGGAACTCGCCGTCCCCTCACGAATGGGCAGGGGGGTGTAAAAACACAGGGAGCTGCCTTATCATCAAGGTCAGTATTGCCTACTCAGACTGGCAGCAGCTTCCCAGCGTCTCAGGCAGAGGTCTTTCGCACCACTCCTTAACCTAGATTCAGGTGGGTAGCTGCTGAAGCAGCAGAATGAGTCCCCTGGCATCTTTTAAATCCACAAAGTTTTATTCCGGGTATAAGCTTTGTGTGCATGCACACTTCTTCAGGTACATTGAAACAGACCTCTGTCAATCATTACCTATAGGGAGAGGGTGGGGAGAGTGTTGCCAAGAAGGGCTTACTACCGTGTTTCCCCGAAAATAAGACACTGTCTTATATTTATTTTTTCTCAAGAAGACACACTAGGGCTTATACCACAAATGCATAGAAATCCTGCTAGGGCTTATTTTTTGGGTAGGTCTTATTTTCGGGGACACAGGGTAGAGTCAACATGTACAAGTAACTCAGCAGTAAATATAGCAAAAATTGGATTAAGGCATTGGATTAAAATCGGAGTGCATGCTTTCTTACGGTCAGTCTTGAATATGACAATACCTTTTAAGCCAGAGATATTTCTGTTAAACTGTTTACCAGATGACTTAGAGAAGAACCATCGCTGCTTTATTTTACATGTTATAACAGCAGCCGGAATTTTATTTGCAATGACGTGGAGGACACTGAAGATCCCAATGCGGAATGAGTTGACAATGAATATTATGGAATGTGCTGAAATGGACAGAATGACAAATGTATTAAAAGGGAAAAATGGAAGAATGATTTATGGGACCGTGGAGGGCGTTTTATGACTGGCTAAAAGTTAAGTACTTAGAAAATAAGATTAAATGAAGAATAATAAGAACTTTCCAGGGCGTCTGGGTTAGTCAACAGCTAGAAACAGGATGCTGGTCTGCATGGCCCAGCAAGGCTCTGGCGTTCTTAATGCTCTGTTGTGATTGTTGCATTGATACATGAAGGCTTCAACCAGCCACTTAGAGAGCCAGTTTGGTGTAGTGGTTAAGTGCGTGGACTCTAATCTGGGAGAACCAGGTTTGATTCCCCATTCTTCCGCTTGCAGCTGCTGGATGACCTTGGGCAAGCCATAGTTCCGTCAGAGCTGTTCTCTCAAGAACAGTTCTGGAAAGAGTTCTCTCAGCCCCACCCACCTCACAGGGTGTCTGTGGTGGGGTGGGGTGGGGGAAGGAGTTTGTAAGCCACTCTTGAGTGAAGGGCGGGGTATAAATCCAATCTCCTCTTCTACTTCGATCCCACAAGAGTCTTTTGTTTTTGCATTTATTCAGTCACCCAAAGAGCTGCACTCTCCCCCAAATCTGGAAATCAGCTCATCTGCAATAACTTTATCCAGTTCTGCTAAGGTGCATTGTTTATTGATGGAGTTAAAAAACGGAAAGGTGGAAGGGTGTGTGTGTCAGCCTTGCTTGTGTAAACAGGCACTGGGGTCATTGGTGCTCCATCTCTTGGTCTCATCCTGATGTATAACAAACCTACTGCTGTGGACAGTTCAAGCAGCAGGGAAATTCTGTGTGTGAATGAGCGTGTTAGGCCTCCACTTGCAATGTTCCCTCTAGTTCCCTCTTCCCTATCCCCTATGAACATTGTTAATCCCCTGTCTATAATGTGTAACTGTAAATCGCTTTGAGCCCAATGGGGAAAGCGATTAATAAATTGAAAGTATTATTATTATTATTATTTCCCTTCCCCTCCCCAAAACGGGTACCCTGTGAGGTAGGTGGGGCTGAGAGAGCCCTGAGATAACTGTCCTTAAGGGAGCAGCTCCGACAGAACTGTGACTGGCCCAAGGTCATCCAGCAGCTGCGAGTGGAGGAGTGGGGAATCCAACCCGGTTCTCCCAGATGAGTCCGTGCACTTCACCACTACACCAAACATGTCAGACCCTGCACGGCTCCGGACTGCTGATGAGCGGGGCTTCCTGTGTTCATGAGCTCACGTGCGCAGCTTAGAGGGAACACAGGCCCCACCTGTAGCAAACCCTACGTAACAGAGTTGTGAGGAAGACCAGGGTTTAGCCTAGAGGGGGAAGGTTATCAAAAGCGGGGCTCTGGCCAGTGTCACGTAGTAGTTAAGAGCGGCAGACCAGGATCTGAATGACACAGGTTCGAATCCCCACTCTATCGTGAAAGCTCACTGGGTGACCTGGGGCCACTCTCTCTCGCTTAGCCTCGCCTACCTCACAGGGTTGTTGTGATGATAACATGGAGGAGAGAAGGATGTATGCTGCTTTGGGCCCCCATGAGGGAGAAGGGCGAGGTTTGAATGAAGTAGATGAATAAATAAAACGTAAATAATCATAGAACCATAGAGTTGGAAGGGGCCATACAGAGGCCATCTAGTCCAACCCCCTGCCCAGTGCAGGACCAGCCTAGAGCATCTCTGACAAATATTCGTCCAGCCTCTTCTTCAAAGCTGTCAAGTCAAGGGGAGCTCGCCACCTCCCGAGGCAGCTGATTCTACCTTTGGACCACCCTGACTGTGAAAAAGTGTTTCCTAATTTCCAGCCGATACACAGATTTTAAAGGGATCGATCTGTAAGCATCTGAAGGACCACTTAGTGATCCGGGGAAGTCAGCATGGTTTTGTCCCCCAACAGGTCTTGTCAGACCAACCTGGTTTCCTTCTTTGATCGTGTGATGAGCTTACTGGATTGTGAGGACTCTTGTTGGTGTAATGTACCTGGATTTCATTAACACTTTCGGAGCATTGGTCACTGCTCACTTCTTCAGATAAAGCCAGAAAGTGAGTCCATCCGTCCTTATATCACATCCTAGTTGTACCTGAAGAAGTGAGCTGTGTGACTCCCGAAAACTCCTCCCCTGCCACAAATGTTGTTCGCCTTTCAGGCGCTACTGGACCCTTGCTCTTTTCCGCGGCTACAGACAGACTAATACAGCGACCTGTCTTGACCTACAGGCAGTAGGTTGAGCCCGAGAGACAAGGCAGCAGGAGGCAGAATTCTCCAAGCACCGTAACAGGCGTTTTTCTCCTGCGTGTTCCAAGGACCTGGGTCTGAAGGTACAGGAGGCAGCTTTTCGCTGCCGTTGGCCTGGGTCTGGACAGTGGTTGGGTTAGTGTGTGCTAGCTCATAGTTTATTAGCCTCCAGCTCACACCTTTTTGTCTTAGTTCTCTTAGCTCAGGAAGGAGGGCTCCAGAGCAAACTAATTTATGCAGGAGCCCAATCGCTCGCTCACAACTTCAATGCCAGCAGCTCACAAAGTGGAGTTTTTCCTCACAAGACTCCGCAGCTTAGAGGGAACATTGGTTGGATGGGAACCGCCCGGTGCATTCCATCTAGTGTCCCGCAATGCAAGAAAGGGGAGATCTCGGCTAAGCTCCTGTCTCCAAAACACCGGGAACACAGCCAGAGCGAAGACAGCAAGTGCCTTTATTCAGGTATAGAATCAGCGTCACAGAAGCTGCAGAACTCACATGGATGCCTGAGACCTCCTCCCACGGACGCACAGTCTTCAAGGGAAGCGCCACCCCCCTCCTCTGGATTTGTCCAAAAATAAAATCTCTATCCACAAGCAGGGGTGGGGAGGGAGGGAAGCTAGCCCCGTGATTCGTGATCTCATCCCTCGTATCCCATTTGCAAGCGTTGAATTTACCGACAAAAATAGTATTCTTTGGGAGTCGTAA